TCACTGACCAAAATTATAAATGTCACAATGCAAAATTCAGGAAAGCCCTGATAAGGAGTGCGGGGATTGAGTACCAGAAAGAGGTAAGAGAAATGAGAGAAACCCACAAAAAAGATCCTGACCGACCCCAGATGACAAGTGGAGCCGACTTGGTCCACTATGGCATCATTCATGTCCCAGTATCGGCGTATAAAAAAGATGATAACATGGAAAACTATGTCCGTCTGATGATGAAGAAGTTTGAACGAGGTTTGTACCACACAGTACATCAAGGACTGAGGAGAGTCGTCATCAGAACCTGTGGTTTGAGGTCCGGAGATCTCCCATGGGACATGGCAGAAAAGGTGGCAGTGAGAGGCTCGGCTTGTTTTGCTCAGAACCTCAACGTAGCCACAGACTTAAAGGAAATTGTTGTGGTCACGGCAGAAAAATTGAAAAGTGAAAGGCTGAATCTGGCCATGCCTCTGATACCCTTAAAAACTGATCCTCCTAAAGCAGAAGGTAAGAAGGCCCTCATTAAAGACCCTCCACCTAAAAAGACTGAACGAGGTCCAGAGGCTCCAGTTGCAGGAGGTGACAGAGCACTGGAAGGACCTGTGTGCAGCACACAAAACAAGAAAACACAGAGAAATACCAATTGGTCGGAGGAAGAAAGACAGGACCTGATTCGACACTTTAAAAGGTGTGACGTCAGCTCCGGGAATGAGAGCTCAGACGAGGAAGAGCCCGAGAACCCCCCCCCCAGCTTATTGAGCGTGCACAAACCCCACTACCTCATGGAAGTTCAGATGATGAAAACGATGATTCCAGCATGGGATCTGCTGCAGCACAAGGTCTAGGTACCCCTAAACAACTGAGAATCGGACAAAGGAAAGGGGARAAGAAACAGGTGGAACTGGTGGACGTCCTCCGGGTGTCTGAGAGAATGGCACGAGAACCCCGGTGGGGACCAATCCAGACCAGTGATGGAAGAAAGACCTATGTGCCTGAAGCAGACCAAAGAGATTTCCCAGTACCCACGGAGTGGGCTGAAAAGACAGAGGAACAGCTGGAAATAAAGGTAAGAGCCAAGGTGGGGGAATGGGCTAACATAATAATGATGCCGTCTTATCCCACACTAGCTGCACATACAAGGTTGACAGCCAATTTCAGACAAGCATATGTGGCTATTGCCCACGATGTCATGCTAAAAAAGATGAAGAAAGCAGCAAATAAGTTTGTGAAAAACATGGCACAAGAGGAGGAAGACGGAATGCTCTCGGACGAACCAGCACAGCCCGTAAGTGCCCTAGGTCAAAGGGGCCCAGCAGGAGTGCTG